ACAAAGGTGAAAAATAAAAAAAATAAAAAAAAAAAATCCTTTAAAAAAATATTTTTTTGATATTGATGAAAGTAACAGATATTAACATTGGGCAATGTATTTATATGATATATAATAAAATAGAGCATTATAACAAAATTATTCATTATTATTTGTTATTATGTATTACTCAGCAGTGCTATAAAGGCACCAGCTGCATATCCACTTTGTGGACACTTCTTACTACTACAGTATTCTTCTTCTTCTTCTTTGTGTGTCGGACAGGTGCCTGCATCTCGTTATTACTGTATTCATCAGTTCCAGTTAATAAGAGATGTTCTCCTTATCAATAAAATGTTCTTCTTATTAACAAATTTGTCTAAAATCAATTTTTGAAAATATTTTTATGAAAGTTTCACGACACTGAAGCCAATAAGTTGGAGATTATATATATATATATATATATATATATATATATATATATATATATATATATATATATATATATATATATATATATATATATATATCTATATATATATATATATATACTATATATATATATATATATATATATATATATATATATATATATATATATAATGGTCCCCAGGACAACATATATATATATATATATATATATATATATATATATATATATATATATATATATATATATATATGTTAATAATAACAAGAACTGGAATTTGAGTGAAAGGCTCAAACAAGTCCTTATATATGTACCCTATAATAGTCACTTACAGCTGATATTGTAAATACATATTACGGAGGTGTGTGCAGCCTTTACACTGCTCAAATTTTCTTTAGAGCAGACTTAGAGAGTATAGAGCAATGGGGTAGTAGAGGGTATAGAGCAGTGGGGGTATTAGAGAGTATAGAGCAATGGGGTAGTAGAGGGTATAGAGCAGTGGGGGTATTAGAGAGTATAGAGCAATGGGGTAGTAGAGGGTATAGAGCAGTGGGGGTATTAGAGAGTATAGAGCAATGGGGTAGTAGAGGGTATAGAGCAGTGGGGGTATTAGAGAGTATAGAGCAATGGGGTAGTAGAGGGTATAGAGCGGTGGGGGAGTAGAGGTTATAAAGCGGTGGGGGTAGTAGAGGCTATAGAGCGGTGGGGTAGTAGAGGCTATAGAGCAGTGGGTTTAGTAGAGGCTATAGAGCAGTGGGGTAGTAGAGGCTATAGAGCGGTGGGGTAGTAGAGGCTATAGAGCAGTGGGGTAGTAGAGGCTATAGAGCAGTGGGGTAGTAGAGGCTGTAGAGCGGTGGGGTAGTAGAGGCTATAGAGCAGTGGGGTAGTAGAGGCTATAGAGCAGTGGGGTAGCAGGGGCTATAGAGTAGTGGGGTAGTAGAGGCTATAGAGTGGTGAGGGTAGTAGAGCCTATAGAGTGGTGAGGGTAGTAGAGGCTATAGTGGTGAGGGTAGTAGAGGCTATAGTGGTGAGGGTAGTAGAGGCTATAGAGTGGTGAGGGTAGTAGAGGCTATAGAGCAGTGGGGTAGTAGAGGCTATAGAGTGGTGAGGGTAGTAAAGGCTATAGAACAGTGGGTAGTAGAGGCTATAGAGCAATGAGGTAGTAGAGGCTATAGTGGTGAGGGTAGCAGAGGCTATAGAGCAGTGGGGTAGTAGAGGCTATAGAGTGGTGAGGGTAGTAAAGGCTATAGAACAGTGGGTAGTAGAGGCTATAGCGCAATGGGGTAGTAGAGGCTAGAGAGTGGTGAGGGTAGTAAAGGCTATAGAACAGTGGGTAGTAGAGGCTATAGAGCAATGGGGTAGTAGAGGCTATAGAGTAGTGGGGGAGTAGAGGCTATAGAGTGGTGAGGGTAGTAAAGGCTATAGAGCAGTGGGGTAGTAGAGGCTATAGAGCAATGGGACAGTAGAGGCTATAGAGCAGTGGGACAATAGAGTATAGAGCAGTAGGGGTAGTAGAGGCTATTGAGCAGTGGGACAGTAGAGGGTATAGAGCAGTGGGAGTAGTAGAGGCTATAAGAGCAGTGGAGGGCTAGTAGAGGCTATAGAGCAGCGGAGGGGTAGTAGTAGAGCATAGAGCAGCGGAGGGGTAGTAGTAAAGGCTATAGAGCAGCGGAGGGGTAGTAGTAGAGGCTACAGAGCAGCGGAGGGGTAGTAGTAGAGGCTACAGAGCAGCGGAGGGGTAGTAGTAGAGGCTATAGAGCAGAGGAGGGGTAGTAGTAGAGGCTACAGAGCAGAGGAGAGGTAGTAGTAGAGGCTATAGAGCAGCGAATGGGTAGTAGTAGAGGCTATATAGCAGAGGAGAGGTAGTAGTAGAGGCTATAGAGCAGAGGAGGGGTAGTAGTAGAGGCTATAGAGCAGAGAAGGGGTAGAAGCGAGGAGCGCGGACGTGCGTAGGGTCGCAAGTGGCCTTCACCCATGTGTGGTATACACCTCTATATACGCACTTCCAATATATCTACTCCTCTCCCTTATACTTTATTTAAATTCCCGGACTATCCGTGGCAGTTACTCTAGAGCACATGCATGTATACTGTTCCAGCAGGAAGTAGACGTGGAATTCAAAGGAGAGAGAATTGAAGACTACGGAACAAAGATGTGGCAATTATATAAAAGTGATGGTAGAGGTGACGGGCCGGGAATCGCGTATCCTCTATAAAAGTCCGTTGGAAATGAAACCTAATTTAAAAATTCGAACGTATGTTGAGGTAATTAGTAAGGATTGCATACATTTTGGGGATATATATAAGCATATATATGTATATATGACCAGCATAATTAAAGAGTTGATTGTGATCGAGGCCATGCATTGTCTCCCGGATATACGCCATGAAATGCTTTAAATGAACGAGATATAGCCTTATTTTTATATTATTGGTATATTTGTTTGTAAAGTGTACCATGAACACCTGATTAGCACCGTTAAACTAATAATACATGAAGTTACAGATGTCAAAATAGTCTCAGACAAGTTCCCACCAACAATTTCATTCACAACAAAGGTATCTTGCTGAAAAAATAAATGCCGGTTTAGGGCATGAATTTGATGCTATGGAAGCTGTTTCACTCGCTACAAAACTGTCCTTGGCACTCTTGACCAACAGGTGACTCTTTTTCATGGGAATGCCATTGAGCTGGGCCAGGGGGTCAGGGCCATGGCACAAGGAAATCATCTTTATACATGGCGTCATAGGAGTGGGAATGGAGAGCCCATGAGATAACCCACTATTTCGGCGGCTGACTTCAGCTCTATGAAAGTACACCACCATCAATCGATTGCTCAGCTTTGCTGGTATATACTACTCATGTTTGAACAGTGAGGGATAATATTTGAGTATTTTCTCTTAATTTTTAAAGTAGTGGAGTGTTGTGAGGAGGGAGAAGGCTGCTCCGCCATTTTGATTCGTGTGGCCGGGGCCCGAGAGGCGACGGCGGCGTCCCCGGCCCACGCCGTCCCCCGCGCCTCGCACACCTGGCAACGCCGCAACTTCCACCACAGAAACCGGGAAGATATTTACCATGGTAAAAGTTGAGAGTAATCTCTCTCTCGTGTTAACATGGGCTTATTTAACCCGCATTACCGAATAAGTTACAATTGCAATGTTTTTTCCTTACGTTTCCATGCTAGAGTCGTAGAAATTGGTTCATAATGATTTTGTTTTCATGCAGTGATGTTTCTCCCTTCGACAATTTAACGGATTTGTTATGTATTTATTTGGTAATTTTATTAATATCGCTGGCATTATACATAATTATTTAGATAATACCAAAATGTTAAATACAGATGACTATATATTAAGAGTAATTTGTGTAATAAGGGATATATAGTGTTAAGGTGGTGGGTGTGAGAAGCTCCACTCAAGACGAAACCATGGCACAGATCAGCCGGGAAACTCTGAAGATGGAAATATCTGGTGAGGTTTACAGTGTTTTTGGTCGCGTGTGATGTGTGTGTGAGGGTGGAGAGGAGGGCGAGTGTACTGTGTACCAGTGCCGGAGAGGACAGGTGGTGTTAGAGAAGGTATGAGAGGTAAAAAGTTGTGTTGTTAGTGTTGGTGTTGGGTGGTGGTGGCGGTGTTGCCGCTGTGAGGGTGGTGCGGGGGGGAGGGGTGGTGGCGGTGTTGCCGCTGTGAGGGTGGTGGGCGCGGGCGGCGGCGGCGGCGTCACTACCCTCGCCCGCGCCCTCCTCACCCGCACCGCACGTGAGTACCTCCACACTTAGCTCCACAAACTCACCCTATATACGCCACGTCGCTGCCCTACTACACCTGAAATAGCTGGAGTAAGTGTGTGCGGGTGTACTGGTGCCCCTGTGGTGGTGGTGAGGTGTTTACTTACGGTATAATGTGGTGTAGTAGTGAGAGTTCTTTATTTCTTGTCAGTTGGACCTTGCAGCGTCGTACTGAGAGCCGAGACCGGCATTTTGAGCCCCTCTAGCGTGGCGCTGCGCGTGGTCCTCTACACTGCCTCTTGTCCTCCCTCTGTACACCCTCTCTGCTCTAAACCACACTCCTACGGCTCTAAAGCAAGCCTTAAAGAGCCTGGTATTGAGGGGTTTAGGTAGGTTTTAGTGAGGTATTGTGGAGAAATGTGGAGAGGAGTGGACGCGATGGCGGGCTTGGCGTCCCTTCCTCAACCTCCCAATAAGCGCCACTTTTCCTCGGCCAAATTTTTAGATTTCTCGAGGCAATTTGCATTGAAAGTTTCCATAATAAGTCGCTCCAGTGTTGCGGGTTGAAGTTTGGTTGGGTAAATCTGCGTGGGTTTTGGAGTGGTAATGTTTTAAGGGTGAAAATAGTGTGATGAGCGGGATGCGACCTTTTGACGCACACTTGGCGGGTGGTTGGCGAGGGAGCACGCCAACATTTCTGCCACCGTTGATACTCTCTGAAACGTCTCGCTCATCTTCACTCTGGCCTTATTATTTAAAGTAACTTTAACCAATATATAATTATTTTGCAATTGGGATTTTGTAAGGTTTTAGTGCCAAAAATGCAGCTTGGAAGACTTGCAATATTTCAAGATTTAAATTTTTTTTTGTTTGAATAAGCTCTAACGGTTTTTTTTCTCGCTAATAGTGGTTTAGCGTTCCCTTTAAAGTTAGCAGGGCTTCAATTAATAATTGTAAGCCTTTGTATAAATGAAATGTGAAATTTTAAATTTTTTTTCCAAAATGCTAATTTACAAAAGAATTCTTTTTAGCACAACAGAACCATATATACAGTATATTAGTATTTTTCTGTATTTTATGAAAAATAAGTAAATGGGTAAGATCTAATCTATATGGTGTGCATTCTGTGTTTAGGCATTAATGGACTATTTGTCTCATTCCTTTAAATGTTTTGTAATTTATCTGTAATATTTAGTGTGCTTCAGTTTTAAATATAGAGGTGAAGTGTCACGCATAAAGTACCAATTTGTCAATTATTTTGGTCTCTAGTGAGCTTGGAGAATGGTAATTTCTGGGTTTTGTAGGTTTGTAGCGGTGCTGTTTTAACGTGTATACGAGTATATAGTAATGATTACTTCAGTCATTATTTCATTTAATTCTTCGCCTAGAACAATATATAAATTGAAATGCTGTAATTTGTAAGTTATGATATGAATTCGGCTGCAACGTTGAGCACATCTTCAATAATGCACAAATATGCATTATCCCACAATGTTGGTGATAAGCTTTTTTTAAGTATATACTTAAATTTGGTGATGCAAATAATCGATTTGAAAGATGCATTGGATTTTAAACAAATTTACAAAATTAATGACTTGTTCTGTGTGAACTTGAACAGCAATAAAAAATTGCAGAGTTTTGCAAAAAAAATGGCTGGGCAGATTTTGACTCGTATGCGAGTAACTTTTTGCAATAGGCATTTATACATATTAATTGTGAAAGTTTGCCAAACTTTCAATGATATGGGTATGGACATTGCATAGGTGTTAAATTTTGTTAATTTATCACTTTGCAAATAATTACTCGATTTATAATTTTTTTTGGTTTTAAAATCTACATGCAAATACTCTTGTAGAAAGTAGTATATATTTAAGTTATATTAACTTAATTGCTGCAGAACTTGAACGAAATCAATCATATGGCATATACATGAAAGATTTTTTTTTGTGTGGAAGCTGTGCTTCACATATCCACAGATAATTAACAAAATTATAACAACAGGCAAAAGAAAAATGCTAGAATTTGCCATGTATGTTATGCCCTGTTATATATCTACATTTTTTGTAGCAGTATGCAATGCAAATTATAACATGCTAGGTTCTCAAATGTTCAGTCCTTTACTGTCCAAAAACTACCATTTAGAGAGGGGGGCCCTAGGTTTTCCAAAGACTTTGTTGTAATGTCTTCAGAAGTGCAGCCAAATTCTGGACGGCTGTTTGAATTTTTTTTATTAGCCATTAAGGGACGGCAAATCTGCCTAAGAATCTGAAGATAATTAAATACAACTTTCTCTTTGTTGATTATGTGTATGCATATAAGAGTTCATTCATATATATTAGTACAGTTGGGAGCATTTTTGACAGTCTAGAATCCCAGGTGTGACTGATGGGGTGGGCACGAATCCTTTCACCTTGTGACTGTTCACCTGGCAGTAAATAGGTACCCAGGTGTTGGGTAAACTGTTGAGGAGTTGTATTCCGAGGAAGGTCCAGTATTTTCCCCAAAGAGTTTGTCCCACCCAGGATTCGAACCTGGAATTTTCAATTGCGAGTGTATTCTTGCATATAATATCTGCAGGTGCATGTAACGCCTATTTGTGGTGGGTGTGTGCAACACGTGTCATTGGGCGTATGCGTGCACGACACGTGGGCGTATGGGTGGCTCTAATAAAACTCTAGTGACACTCTTAAAAACAAGTTCTTCGAAAGATTTTAGTTAATTTTCAATTAGATAAAAACATGAAAAGCATTTTCTATTTTATATACTGTAATTTAAATTTCAATATGCAGTATACCTTAGAAATTTTATTAAAATGCTTGCTTGCTTTAATTTAACAGTAAAGTGCAACAATGATGAAAAAACACTGATCAAAGTATGCAGGATAAACCCCATTTCTCTATTTTTCACAAGTGGTTCTTCTGCCTAATAAAATTTTGTTTTGTAGTTAACAATAATCCATCTATGTAATTAGTCAATAATTTTCTTCCAAGGCTATAAGTGATCCTAATCGACTGGATATCGTAAAAAATTTGTAAAAATGATTTAAAAAATTGGCCAATTTGATTAGGACATTATTATTCTGGTAACTGACATAATTTTTATGAAAGGGTGCTTTTATTAATTATTAAAACTAATAAAATGCCATTAATCATTTTTTTTTTTTGTTTTGTTTACAGCTATCCTTAAAGGAGCAGATCTTGAAACTCTGTCAGCAAAGAAAGTTCGACAGCAGCTTGAGCAACAGCTTGGTGTTGACCTCTCAGATCGCAAAAAGGAAATAGACTCAATCATCATGGCTGATGTAGAAGATCAGGTCAACTCACACTCTGACGAGGAGGTTTCTGAGGAGGAGGTGCCCAAAGCCAAGGAAGATTCAGAGTCAGAGCCTGAGTCTGAGGTAAAGTCCTTGTGCCATGTAGTAATTGCATGTTATCTTGAGATGATTTCGGGGCTTTAGTGTCCCCGCGGCCCGGTCCTCGACCAGGCCTCCACCCCCAGGAAGCAGCCCGTGACAGCTGACTAACACCCAGGTACCTATTTACTGCTAGGTAACAGGGGCATAGGGTGAAAGAAACTCTGCCCATTGTTTCTAGCCGGCGCCTGGGATTGAACCCAGGACCACATGATCACAAGTCCAGCGTGCTGTCCGCTCGGCAGACCGGCTCCAATGTACTTGTACATTCTGTAAAATTATTCAGAAATTTGTTCTGAAGTACAGTATTTGCTTATTTGTAATCATTATTCCCTTCACTACACATTTTTAATTTTAAGGGTCATTTTTAGGTCTTTCATCTTCATGGGTGAAAATATCAGTAGAGTATAACTTTGTGGTGTTTATGATAGGTGAATGAATGTGGCAGTGATTGAAGATTGGTATTATGGGAAAAAAATGGATAATGGTGGATGGTAGTATTCTTGGTAGATTTGAGTTTGGAGACGGTTTTTTTTTTATCATAATTTTTTAGCATAGACTTTTGGGGAAAGAAAAGGGTTGGCATAAGTAGAAGTCTGACAAATGGTTGTAGCGTTTTGAAAATGTCATGCTGTCGAGAGATTGTGAAAAATATTCTAGGATGTGTCAAATGACAGAAGATTGAATACAAAAATTGAGCCTAAAATCTTAAGAAATTATTGGCCATCAAAAGTATGATTTTGAGAGTTGAGCAAGTACAGTAGAAAGGTTAGTTTGATAGTGGTGAAGTAAATAATGTTGGTAATTGAGGGTATGTTTGTAGATTATGATGATTCCAATAGTTGGAGTGAATAGTTGAAAGTATAGGTTACAATGGTTGAAGAAAGGGCAATGCTGTAAATGTTTGAAATCGGTAGTTCTGTGAAACGAGAGGTAATTTTTGATGTTCAAATCCTCTGACATCGCAGGTCCTGTTCAGCTACTTAAAATGTTTATACTGTTTTCTCATTTCTTGGTTTATTATAAATTCGAGGCCAAAAAGATAACGAATGAATGTACTAGATAATACAATTTGCATGATATCCCTGACTATAAGCACTTTTATGAACAACTTGTTTCCTAATTTTTTTTTTTTTAACAAATATTAATAAAATATCCCAGGTATGTAAATTTTTGCACGTTATCAGTGTTACTATAAAAAGAAAACACAATTTTCCTGCAGGTAATTTCCAAAACATGGTAAAATTTCTCGCCACGAGTGGTAGATAATTGCTTGAGGTGATCTCTGGATAGTCCGCCTTGGTTGGTCACCAGATTCGCTATGAGCAATGTTCCAGCCATTTTTTTTCTCTGAAATTTTGAGATGGACGACGCATTTTAGCATCATCTGAACATAAGTGTTAATGGGGTGTTAAATGTATTTATACAAAGTAAAACATGAAACAATGATACAAATTTTTATAGTGAGGTTGAGAACATACTTTACTCTATATGGTTTTGGGAATAAGGTTAAATTTGTGAAACAAATTACTAGGTAATGTAAGATGTGGATTGTTTAAAGTGTAGGTTAGATATATTAGAGGAATTTTTGGGTATAAACAGGTGTTGCCCTGCATGGCACTTTAATACTAAGGTTTAGAAATGTTGTACCTTGGGGCTGAGGTGATGTTTGGCAATTAGGTTTGTTTAGATTACGTAGCAGGGAGGTGAGGTGCTTGGCATTGGGACAAGGACATTATGGTACTTTACCTATGAGAAAGGATAGTAGAGAAGATTTGGAATTATATAGGAATCCAGTTTCCTTATCTGGAAAATTATTTGCAAATTGTTGATATAACAAAGGATAAGGAAGGAACATGATTTTTGGGACAGGATGGGGCTTAAGGTTTTTATAAAATATTGTTAGAAGTTTTATCCTTTGGTCTGGGTCACTGTTTATACTAGACAATGCCCTGGTGTGTAAGAATGTTTGTTTTTTATTAATTTTTATTAATTTTTTTTTTCATTTCCTGATCACTGGGGTGGGAAAATATTGTATGTGACCGACTGGCGGCGGTGAAGTCGGGAAATCTCTGTAACATCATGTTTCATGAGCATTCGTGAAGCAGCTACCCAGTGATGGTCACCTGGGGCAAGATAGCTGGAGTTTGCAAGACATTTTTTTTTTTATTTTTGAGTAAAAGTCCAAAATGGCCTTTCATAATTTTTTAATCACAACCCATATAATTGGTATTTTCACATGCAATAAACAAACATTTACATTGCAAGGGGAGGATATTCATATACAGTTCTGACATTTTATTGACGAGATTTCAACTTGCCTTGGAGTGCTTCAGCTTGCTTAATGAGAGGCTTCAACTTTGATCATTTATCTAACTTGACACAAGATTAAACATTTTTGTACACGAGCTTCGACTTTCCTCTATAGAAGACGATCATTAAGCCTATACCGAAACACTGTGCAACCCTCGCAGTATAATGGTCATTTTCACAAAGTTCAACGACTCGTAGCTTTAACCCTTAAATAACGTAAAACACACATACTGTATGTTTGGACATAACATCAGTTTCCCATACTTTCACAAACTTTCAAATTTGTTGTGCATAATACACTAGGCAAATGTTCTAACTTTGTCTAAGTGATCACAATGTAACTTGAAAAACAAGAAAATAAAAAATAATTAAAAAAATTTAATGTTGAAAACTTCAGAATTTCAAATCGGATTAAAAAATATAAAATGGATCACTAATTGTTCATTTGGTGTTATGCTCTCAGAATAGCATATGATCTTCATTTTCATCAAATTAGAATATAGGTTTTTGGAGTTTACTGTAAAAAAAAATTATCGATATGGCATTTGGAAATAGGCAGCAAATTTAGACAAAAATTTATACCTTCAAACGTTTAGGATTTATGAAAAAATCCATTTCATAGGGATTGTTGAACAGACAACTGTGCACACTGTAAAAATGGTGAGAACTGGAGAGAAACTATTTTTTTCTGACTCAAAGTTGAAATTCTAGTTATAGATATACTGTAATTGAAGTTGAAGTTATTGACAATGAATAAGGTAGTTCTAATTCATTAATTTACTTGTACAGTATGTTTTAATTAACATTGTTTGGCATTCATATTCAAATGTGAAAGTTGTAGGTCAATATGTATTGAAATAGTTTTAATTTATTTTATTTTTTAAAATTTAAGTAATTTTTTACATAATTTGAATATTTTTTACTTTGTGGCCCTTTATGCTGAACAGTTTAACCCTTAGACTGCTACAGCCTGGGCTGTAAATAAGCTGGGGCTTGGCAAAAAAAATATTTTAATTATGTGAAAATTAATGTTAAATGTTGAACAAATCTCCAAATTATTGGCTTCAGCGTTTACTACTATTCCAAGAATAGTAGTAAGAAGTGCTCAAAGTGAATATGCAGCTGGCGCCTGTATAGCATTGCCGAGTAATTTATTTTGTTAAATATCATAAAAATACATTGTGTAATGTTGTTACTTTCACAGATGTCTAAAATAATTTTTTGGGGGGGGGTGGTGCCTTTGTTTATTATCTAATTTTGTTGTAACCTATACATCCTGGAGAGTGCATACCCGTTCCTAACTGTGTGAAGATAGAATGAAATTGGTAGACAAATAAATCTGTCACAACTGGCAGAACTAGAAACTGAATTTTTTTCACAAATTTCAAACTATTTTCAAACAAACTAAAGACGAATCACCTTGCTGAATTTTTGTTTCAATGGCGGAAAACATACTCTAATAATGAAGAACCAGTACCAGATGTTTCTTCTGAGGAACCGTCTGCATTTCAAAGTATACTTTCAGAAAGTGAAAGTAACATCAAATCAAGTTAATTAATCATAACATCCACATTCTAGATACTTCAGACATGGACAGTGAAATGCCACCATGTAGTTTGTCGTTAAGTCGTAGAGTCAACTTTGGTTAACAGCCATGAAGTCTGAACAAAAATTTTATCAAGAGTCGTGATACTACCATGAATCTGGTAGAGACAAACTAAACTGGCCTTGTCATTATTTCTAGAATTCAATGTCTTACTATATGGTGAGCAGCAGTTTGACAAGTGGCTCCTGTACAGCCCATCAAAGATTCTGTGCTAACGTTTAATCTTCACTGTAAGATCACTTCCCATGTTGACAGGGAGTTGGAAAAAAAACTATGACTGCTGGACTGAATTCAGCATTGTGTCATGTTGTGGCAGTAACAATCTTTCTAGCTGAGAGAGGCCTGGCATTTATGGGTAGAGAAGATCTATCATCCAAGCATAAAGGTGGCTTTTGAACAATTATGGAGCTTATTGCTCATTTTGATCCATTGCTGATGGAACCCCTTAAATAATTTGGCAATCGTAGAAGTGATGAGCAATCATATTTATCACCAACAATCTATCGAGAAATTTTGCTGATTAGGAAATATGTTGGAAATTAAATTGACAGATAAATTCTCAAGATAACCTGACATAACTTGAAACTGCCAAATACTTCTCAATTTCAGTTGATTCAACACTAGACCTTGCTTGTGTTTACCAGCTAACAGTCAGTGTGATATACTGTTTCTAGGAAGCCGGTAAAAAGAATTTTAACTTTACTGCAGATTGGCTCTTAACAAGGCTGAAATACTATATGCATCTGCAAATTTTATTTTTTAGAAAAAACTGCATCAAGTTCGAAAGTTGCTGGCAGTTGTAGAACTGCCAGCAATATGTCTGGTCGCTACACAGGAATGCAGGCCAGACTTAAGAATTCAAACTCTACTGCAATTTTTATTCCCTGTGCATTGCACTCTTTGAATCATGTTGGATAGGGTGCTGTATTTGAAGCTCTTAGTTATCTTGGCTTATACAATGTTTTCTGCATCAGCACACAAATGGTAACCTAATACATGTAAAGTTCTGGAAGGAAGGAAAGAAGCACTTGACTGTGAAGTCTCTTTCAGTTATTTGTTGTTCAGCAAGAGCTGATTCTACTGAAGCCATTGTACATGGATACAGCTCTAATTCAAAATGCCTTCAGATAGTTGTTGCTTTAGATTCAACTACTCTGAACAAAAAGTTCCAAGCAGCATGGGCTATGGTAAGCCTGTCATACTGGCACAAATGTGCATGCCTTCAGAGATATTGAAATGGCTCGGCAAATGCCTGAAGTACTTCGGAAACAAAATGGACAGTCGTGAAACTGTTATGATGGCCAAGATCGAAAATAATTATTGTACAGTTCCACAATGCAAGTAAAGCTTTCCAGGGCATTCCTGTTGACCTGAAAAATGTATTGGATCTAATTGATTCTTTGGTAAAGTTTCTAGACTTGTTTCATGAGGGATGAACTGGATGCCATGAATTTGTAAAAGTACAAATTACAAATTAACTACTTGCAGGTCAAGAAAGAGAAACAAGCAATATGATGCAAACCCAGTCAGTCTTGAGGAAAGTGTTACTTCTGCCAGAGAAAAATTAAAATGTGAAATGGCCATTTTAGATCAGTTCTGTTGCATTACAAATATGCAGGGTAGCATACTAATCAGTGTATGACAAGTTCAAAGTAATTGTCCAATTGTGGGGTCTATCTGGTGTAGCACTTGAACTTTGAACAAAAATTAGACTAAAAAAACATGCCAGTGCTTTCCCTCAAGTAGTGTTTTCGTTGAGGAAATTGTCCCTTTTATTGGTGCTCAATCTCAACAGGTAGTTTTACTATATGAAGAACTTGCCGATACCATCTCTCATTGTTCAGGTGATAGGCCATTCAGCAAATTAGCACTAAAAGAACTGTCTTAGGACCTACGATGACCCATGAAAGACTAAAGTGGTCAGTGCCTACTGGATGTCAAGCAGTGTACTCAAGATGATACAAATTGATAAATTGGTTAAAGATTTTGCCGGTGCCGAGTGTAGACAGACTTGAGGTACTGTAGGGTGCTGCGTGCCTACATACATATTTTTTCTGGCATCAATGATGCCTCTTATCTTAAGGATGCACCCCAATTTTGAATAAGAAAAAAATAATAGTTGAATATTTTCAATTTTATCACTATTATTGTAACAAAGTATAATTTATACATGATATCCGAAGGTCATACACAGGCATTCATTTTACTGTTTAGTATAGACAATCGTCTTTAGGTGCTAGGATAGGTCTTTGAAATGCTAACCTTTGGTTAGTCCAATTCCAATTCCCTGTGTGATTTGTTGCAGGCTGGAAATATTATGCAAGAAATTTACTTGGTGTACTTGCCAGGACCCTGTTTCTGACCGGCTCTCACATTTGTTATACACTTATCTAGTGTAATTAGTTTTAAACTTTTGTGGCTGATCGTGAATAGAAACTGTGAAAAATAAACTTTATTATTTTGCTCTGCTGTTATTTAGTATAAAAGCAATATTTAATATCTTGTATAGAAGTATAAAAAGAAAACAGCAGGGATGTGCATGATTTGAAGAATTAAAGGCATCAAAACACTTCCTACCTTATCTGATTGCCAGTAATTGATATCACCTTAGCCTATATTACAAATTGAAAATTGTAGTCAAAGTTCCTCCCAGGAGGCATAAAAGGCAGATATCCAGTTTAACACAAAGGTTTGTGACTTACTAGGACTGTAGTGAAATATCAATAAATAACCCTTACACATTTAAGCAAGTACAAATCAATTGACCAATGTTTCTTCACATTTTTGTTTAATTTTGAACATGGTATATTATAAAGCAATCATGATGAACCATTCTTTATTAGTCGTAACTTGAGTTATTGGTGGGCCTTGTTACGTAATGACGAAGATTTACAATCTATAAATATTCATAAAGATTCATGTATTGTGCATTCTTCGTTTTGACTTTTATTTGAGTGATCATTTCAAATCATATATATAAAAATTATATATATACTGTCATTGAATGCAAACAATTGAAATTGTTTTCTCACTCGTGAAGGAAGAATTGGTGGATAATGGATAACGGCTTCCTCCAGACACTTTGGCTCTGACAACTTGGGTGACTATCTTTGAGTTGAGTGTAACCAGCAGTGGGAAGTGGCTTTGCCAAGGTTACGTATTGCCCATATATTTTTAACTCGCAAAGACTGAATGGAGCACCGCCCTGCTCCTTACTGTTCAAATTACATTGCCCCTCTTAGGTCGTATATGTCCTTGTTGGACGTATGCGTATTGCTTCCAGACTGTCCCTCGATAGAATCATTGGTGAATTGGATACTTTTGATATCGATCACCTTGTGTGCTTTCTCGTATTGGCATCCTTGGCGATATTTAGTGCCTTTTGAATATCCCGCACATTTGATGGCGCTATATAGTCTTCCCGGTTTGGTGCCTTTTGATAATTACTTAATACTATAATGTGAAAGCACGCAAATTTCATCCATGATTAACACTGCATAATCTGCACTTCTATTTCACTTCCTTAAGTTTTTAAATTGAAAAAAAAAAAATATATAGTAGAGGAATATGAATATTCCAGGGAAAAGGTGGCGATGACGACGATTATGAGCCAGGTGCCAAGAAAGCTGCCAGAAAACCCAAAGCTAGCCCAAAGAAACGTAAAAATGACGACGACGACGACTCTGATGAAGAATGGGGCAAGAGGAAGAAGGTAAAAGAAACAGTTAGTTGCCATTTTTTATATTCGTTATTAAATCAATACTCCTATATGAGATTTATGCTACTTTTCTTTAATAGGTTTTTCAATTCAATAAATGCTTTTATTTTAGGCACCCAAAAAGGGTGGTGGTGGCGGCGGTGGTGGTCGTGGTAAAAAGTCTGCATTTACGAAGTCTTTCAAATTGTCCCCTGAATTGGCTGATGTTGTTGGCTCAGATGTGATGCCTCGTCATGAAGTTGTAAAGAAGCTATGGGCTGTCATTAAGGAGAGGGAGCTGCAAGATCCTAAGAATAAGCAATATGCAATTTGTGATGATCAACTATTGAAAGTCATCGGTAAGTTGTATTGTTATCTGCATGCAACCCTTTCTAAAATTGTAGACCCATGCAAAGCATGATTTTATGCAGCATATTTTAGTTAAAAATTGTAAAGTAGGCATTTTTCATTTATGCATAATGGATTTTATTTTTTTACTCTTATACAGTATTGGTATGTACAAATTCCTTGAAAATGTTATAAAGAGTAGGTTAAAGGTAACTGCAAGGTCTAGAATGCATCCCCATTTTTCATGATGAAATGGGTCTGTAGGCAGTAGTTTACATAGCCCCTAACACACTTGTTACACATCTTCCTATTTTCATCTGTCTCTTCACTCTGAACAAGAACAATTTTGATACCTGGCAAACATATTACATGGTTTAATGTTGATAAATTCCAGGTACTTTGAGAATCAAATGAAATACAGGGTACAACAGACAATTGGATCATCTTGTAGTAGGAAAAGAATATGTAAATGATCTGGTAATAATAGAGCAAATAGTGTCAGCCAGAATAATGATAGGATGGACTATGAGAACCTTTAAATATAGGGATCCCATCACAATGTTCACACTATTCAAGTCACTTAAAATTGTCAATATACTCCACACACTGCTAATTCTAGGCATACTGCTGCATCAGAATCCTTGTCACCAGATTCCGAAAAATGGTAATTTTCCACAAGTCTATTTCTTCAAGGAAGATAGTGTCATAATACACCGAACAACGGCATTGTCTGTCTGTAGTTGTAGTCACACTGAACATAAACCACATTGTGTTCACTGATATCTGAACATTATACAGTCTTTTATCAAAGTCAGGATCTTCTGATACTACCATTGTAAAATGGTTAAAGAAATTTAATGTAGTGTAGACAAGCTAAACAGTGCTGCTGTTTGATTGTGTTCATATGCTGCCCCTGTTTGTTCTTGGGTGTGAAGTACTGAGTGAGCAACCCATCCTCCGAATTGACAGTACGATTTAATACTAAGTGTAATAAGTACACTTTCTTACTGTCATAAACAGTGCATAATTGCACTTATGGGGCTGTTACATTTACCCAACTCCCTCCCCGATTTAATTCTCCTCGTTTTCTGTTAAGACACTTAAAGTTTTAAATATTAGGAATTTCTTTTTGGGTTTATTAAACAATATAGATTTTATACAATATTTTAAAGTATCCTGAGTTACTTTACAATTTATTGATATATTTTAGTTTTGTTTTATTAGTTTTAAAAAACTTTATCAATATAGCTATAAGTTAAGTACTAATTGTAATTAAGAAGCAATAAAATTATCTTCAAAAACTAAGACGGTTAGGTGAGGTTGTGGTTTTCTATTCAGTTTTTCAGGTAAACTCAAATACAGTTAAGTGCAATTCCTAACTGCTATGAATAGTACATAATTGCACTTATTTGTCTTACATTTGCCACCCCATTTTTGGAGGACGGGCTGGAGTGAGCAACGTCCACAATCTTTCCTGATGTACTGATGGTAGAATTATTGGAATTACAAAGTGCTAGTGCAGCTTCAGTTGTAATGACAAATTTAGGCATGATTATTTCACTTGGTCATTATTTCACTCACCACGTAAATAACAATCGTGAATTTTTGAGAAATATTAGGGGGCTAAAATTAGATAATCTCATGTTCATGGTAGGATCTGCCATACTGTATTGCATATCAAAACATGTTACCTTGGGAAATGCATTTGTCAATATTATTACTGCTGTGCTAATGTGATTTTGAGCTTGCCTTCTACATTATGTATATACACAGTAGTCATTAATATATAACAAACATAGAAGATAGGGATAACACAATAACATACGCACCACAATACAAATATTTGTGACGAAATGAATTGCACCCTTTCATTGCGTTGTTCCCAGGAGCTGATGCTTGGTTCTCATCCTGGTCATTTCTGCAGTTAAGATATCTTTTCTCCAGCTTTTAGAGCCTGTGCTGTTTTTGGGAGATTTTAACTGTCAAAATGCTCTCTGGGGCAACGTTCTTACTAATACCTTAGGCTGTCTTCTAGATCACGGTTCTTCAAACTTTTTCAATTGTGACCCGGTTTAGTTTTATGCAATGACCTGACCCAGCAATGTGAACAGATGCATAGTACTAACACCTTCCTCTTGCCCATATGATTCATATATTCTTCCTTCACATGATAGATACCTGCATACATCAAATAATCATATGTACATTTTAGAAAATGACAAATATAACTGAATAAAGTAATGTACGTAGAAATTTATAATTCTGCTTACCTATTCAATATATTGAGGATGTTTTTTGTTAGATTATTAAGGAATTCTCACGACTGATGTTAGCTCTTTGTGCTGAGCAGGTGTTAAACTTAACCAACAGATCTGCCATTTCAAATGTAAATGGGATCTTTCATTCAAGGTTCCTCTCAAATATTCCATATTTTCTTTGGGAAAATACTGTTCAAAATTTGCCGAGAGACTGAAAATGAAGCTTTGTCTTGTTTTAAAGTTGTCTAATTAGCATTTATATTTCCTGAAATGTGTTAAACAGGTTGATCTGCTTTATAGCTGGCTTGTCAAACCAATACTTCTCTTGAATGTCTATTTTCTCATTGTGTTTGAATAAATAATTTTCCCTTCCTTAGTTTTAGATAAAGCTCAGAGCTTTGAGAAAATGTCTTGCGTTTGATGGATTTAATACCCACTAATCATTTGAAAATAGTGTTGCCATGCCCATAACCTAATTAGAATTACCCAGCCACTTTGACTGGACGGTAACGCGATAGTCTCGCTTCATACAGGGAGTTTAATCCATGACCATTCCTTTTCCCTGTCCCATCCCAAATCCTTATCCTGACCCCTTCCAAGTGCTATAAAGTTGTAATTGCTTGGAGCTTTCCACTGATAATTAAAACATTAGTCCGTGAAAAAGCCACCTATCGTGTCTATCGCATAATCATACTATGAGTGATTGTTCAGCTCCCATTTCAAAGAAAAGTTGTTAAAACAAACTGCTATTCATTAAATTTTCTTTGATCAGATTGACAACTTTTACCTCTTTTAGACTGTTTAGTTCAGAGGTCAGTTTAGGAAATGGTTTTTTTCCATTGGCTGGACAATTATTATAACTCAATTTGAGATTGTGTATAGCAAAGAGGTTTAGATATAGTGCTAAACATGCATAAATAATCTGTTCTTGATTACAGGTGTAAAGCGCTTCCGTACTTTTGGCATGATGAAACACCTTAAGGATCACTTCCTGGAGGCTGCATAAGAAAACTGCAAATACTAGGGACCCTGTCAGTCTCCAATGCCCGGCACACCATGGCAGTTGACTTCTACAAGAGCTGCTGTTCTCACCCATATTCACTACCAACTTTGCTTAGTTAAGAAGCTCCGTTGTTTTTTTTATTTTTAATCCCTCCCCATGTATATGCTGATGCGATTTGATGAATTGTGAGGTCTCTGCTTGAAATGTCTAAAATTTAAGTAATTTAGTAGCATCATTACTGTCATAGAAAATTTATAAATTAGGTGAAATGTTATAGGGGTTTAGCTAAGGAGGACAATTTGTCTTTCTAAGCATTGTTTGGCGTGTGCCTTTTTTGTATCCTTTGTCAGCAATGGAAATGCATTAGTTGATGTGCTTGTTTTATTTGTCAAATATGTTTAAATATGTCAAACAAAGATTGTTTATTCATGTGTTGGAGATTACCCCCCTCCGTCTGTCTAATGTGTTCATAAAAATGGAGAGTTAACTACTCCTTTGCAGACTCACTTCTTCATATATATAACATTGTCATTAATCATTACATTTCCGTTTTGGACAGTAGCAATGTAATATAAAAGTGTTATAATTTTTCTGTGGCTTGGAGTAGATAGGTTCTGCTTTATAGGTTATATTATTTATCAGGTTACTGCATTCCACATGCTCAGAATGCTTTGTGACTTGGAATTTTGTGGAATATGTTAAGGATTTCAGAATTATTTTTGAATTGTGTTTGTGATATAAATAGCCACAGATAGTTAACAAATTAATATTAAAAATCTGTCACAATGGTACGTCTTTTAATAAAATATTTTGTAAAGGGCATTGTATAGCTTAAACCTACCTTGTATCTTTGTTGTGAGGATCTACGTCCCTAAGGCCAGGTTGATGGGTGGCACTACATATAGCCAGGAATGACATCCTGGCTAATTAGGTTTGGTATTTATCACTTTCCCTCTTACACACCTGGACTTATTTGAAAGCCTTTGGCCTTTTAAGTTTCTATTTTATGCATTTGGCCGTTGCCTTAAAGTATCATTGTTGATTTAGCATCTGAACATCTTGTTAAAGGTTCACTGCAAAGTTTGTATTGTGGCTTCTGTATTTTTTGTTGCCATGAGTGAATATATCGTCTAGATTGGTTATATTTAAAACTTAAGGTTTATACAAATCATTTAGTGTGACTAGAGGTTACAGACAGCTATAACAAATGTAGATAATTGACTGACAATAAGTCTTAAAAATAAAATGAAATAATATAACCAACACTGAAATTTGCACAGCCTCTGCATTATAGTGATTTTGGTAGTTGGTGAAATTGGTTTAGTTTCCCAATGGCAAGGTGTTTAAATTTGACATTTAAACATTAACCCTGCTTTTTTTCAGGTTATTCGATCTAACTATACACACATGCATAGTAAAAGTAATTATCGAAAATCATAGATGGCTAATTACCACTTGTGTATAACATTTTCAACAGAAATTGGACCATCTGAGCCTAATGTAACAGTAACACCTGAAGGCACGTAGCACCATTAGTGTCGCTGTATATTCAAAGCCCTAAATATCACTACGTCAATACGAAGACAAGAGCTAGATTTGTCAATGGTTTTATCAAGGAACGAGTCTGATAAAAGGATATTCTACAATGTGTACCACTTTAATGGCCATACTGAATTGTTCCACTTCACAGGACAGTTTACCCACAAATATTACTGTGGAAGAAAACCATGGGAATATGTCACCTGTATGAGTGCCCAGTTTGTTACCTTTACCGCCAAACCAACGACCCCTGACAATGAGTTAATAGTTTTATGATTTTTTGACCAAACATTGATATTAGAATTTAAGTGCCCAGTTACTAATAGCTTTTTTATTTGGGCTCTATAACGTGTTCCCTATATAGTCTTCCTTGTTCTTAAAGGGTAGTAGTTTTAGTAGTACTGTACTAAAGGGTATAATTATTTACTGTTCTTAAAAGAGTAAAATTGTCTTGTAGAATTCTTATTCGTAGTTACATCTATGTCCTAATGGTACGAGATTTGAGCATGTTAGTGCCACTTGACCAAGATAAATCCTGTTATTAGATTTTTATTGCAATAGTGGAAGTAATAATACAGTTTCTGCAAGTTTCACAATTTGGCCCCCACCCCCGACAATTTTTAAATTTTGACCCATATATGGCTACTGCCCCCTTGTTTAATCTATCGGTGTGAAATAATTTGAATCCCTTATTGGATATTTGGCTAATATTTTAGTTTTCTACATTCATCCATTTTTGGTTTACTGTGGCAATATCTAGTATTTTTAAATACTATTTAAATAGTATTTTGTTTCTAATACTGTACTACTCATATTTGTGCAATACACCTTAAGGGCACTCACTATGTTGAGGCCCGCCTCTGTCCCTATTCCTTTCACCAAAACTTTTCCACGGCCAGCACCCGCTTTATGACCTTCGTTCACAAGCCATTATCAAGTAACAGTTTAAGCCCAAGCTGCAGCTAATAGAGTTGCATAAAAATTAAAAAAAAAAAAAAAAAAAAACGGTAATTTTTTTAATAAACATTTTCTATGGAATGATAAAGCTCTACGATGTACAGTATTAGTTTAGGATTTTTTTTTATATTAAATCAAATATAACAAATGACCAAACTTAAAAATAGGTGTCCAAGTTTCATAAGCCAAGAAGTGTGTGGTCTCCAGGCACGACACGCATGCTATTACCCTCTTTCCTACTTTCGTGGCGAGGGACGCCTGCAGTTTAAAGAAATAATAGGCGAGCAACATGATAAAGATTATAATTGTAAACATTTTTGTCATTTATTATACAACATAATTCATAGTACGAAGTACATTATGAATAAGCATCCACTACCACTGAAGCATTATTATTTTCCCTTTGCACTAAATTTCAAATAATTTAACAAACATTAAGAAATGTGAGCTGCCAGTCAGATTTTACCGCTGAATAAATGGAATACTATAAAGTACTGTACACCAATACTTTTGATTAAATAATACTTCCATGTCAGTATTTCCATTTCATTTAACAAACCTAGTACAAATGAATAGGGACAATAAGAACTCGTGCCCAAAGAATAATCTTGATAAAAGGTACCATCCACGTCTTGTAAGGATGACTGAAAAGACTGAACCACCCACGAATATTTTCATGTGGCGTGAAAGGGCACTGAACACCTGCAAGTTGATCATATCGGCCGACGAGCCACAGCCCATACAGTCAAAAAATTTAAACAAAAGTATTCAAGACATGCCTCTGACGTATCATAGTAGTGTATTTTTTTGCATTTGTTCCTGCTGATAAGTTTACAGTTGGACCTTCGGATAAAGAGCTTGACAAGAAGGGTGGAGTGCTCCATGTCCAATATGTAGCCAGGAATGTATGGATAAGGATCTTTGAATAACCTTCCCGTTGGGAAATGAAGAAGCAGCATCTGTGATGGAAAATTATGCTTATTTTGTGTGTAGTAGGGATGAAAATGTAAAAATTAATTTGAATAGCAGGCTACAATATCACTAATTTTAATCTTGGTACTTTTTTTTTAACGTTTTAAATTCTATGTACATTATATTTTTTTATTTTTTGTAAACAACAAATTTATAGCATTCAAGGTGGCCACAGAACAGTAGTATTCATTCTACTCTTATAACAAAAAAACATATCTAATACGAGTTATAATACAAACTAAAAGTATAAGATACTTAG